ATTATAAAATATAATGCATTATAAAATAAAATGCATTACACTATTTACTCTTCAGTTAAATGTGACAAATTAAGTCAGTTGCAAAAAAACCTGAACGACAGAAACAAGGAAAATGGGACATTCGAATGAAATTATCCGCTAAGAAGTTAATAATTAAAACTGCTCGAATAGAAGAGCATTAATTAACTAAACATCCGATAAAGACTAGTGATGCGAAGAGGTCTTACATACTTCGTTGATTACGACACAATTAAGCAAGGTTTAACACAAATTTTTCTAATAATTAAATATTTGAGAGTCGATATTTAGAAATTTTTTTCGTTGCTTTTTACGACGAGAAACATTAATTTCTCGATTTTTCTCCCCGCTACTTGTAAATTATTCGATTAACCGTACGAAAGTTTTTAAATAAATCATGTGACAGAGTACATAGTTCATTTGCCACTAGATACTTTTATATCTCCCAAGAGTGGAATTTAGTTTCTATTTATCAGAAATAGTAGTTTTTGAAATGTTTTTTACATTCTTTTTATCCGTGTTTCGCGACTAAGTTTTTATTTTCTACTTACAGTGAGTACCATTTGGATTCAACCGTTGCGTTTCAGTAAATGGATTTGCGAATTCAAGAATGAATTTGCCTGAATGAATCACCAGACTTCAAACCATATCACTAAAACTTTTAAGAAATCTGATCGCATAGTTGTGCGATTCTTTAGCGATTTACTCGAATGTTAAACGAAGTCAATTCGCTTACAGTTGGGTAATTACGAAGCAAGCGACCATTTGGCACGGTGATTAAAGACTAACTTCTGAGCTTATTTATGATCTGGTGATTATTAGATCGCTGATTCCATCTAAACACAGTTGCGGAAAGGTTAAATTTATCACTTAATTGATTATCACACACTAAATAATGATTGTTTTAATCATGTGATTAAAAGTTTCGTTCAAATTCTGTAATGAATTAACTTGGGTCATTCATTCTCTTACAAGAAAACACACGAAGAGAGAGTTTAATTTTGAAAGTACTTTTTGAGTAGTTAATAAAAACTGAAGTTATGTATGAATTTGAGTGTATCACGCCTGTTATTTAACAGAATAGCCCCATTCCCAACAGAAAAATAGCAGTATCAATACTCGAGTCTATCAAGTGATGGTAAATGCATTAAACGTACTCTTAACAAAGTTTTTCAATTATAACGGCTTCATTACCTCAGGAGTTTAGGTAATATGATATTTTCCGCTATTCATTAACCTCTACAGTAGTAATTCTACAAATAATAGGTTTATGTAATCTACTATAGACTCTTCAAAACAGGAATAAGAATAGGTAGTATTAAGAGCAATTCATTACTTTTATTTTATTTCCCCTTTAAATAAAATTCTTGCTAACGTGCAATTTTACATTTAAACTAGAAATATTTTAGTAATATTAATTCAGAAATGCGTGCGAGAGTATGATTTAATGTCTTCATAAGTTTGAATTACGACCAAATTTATAAATAAGACTGCTATTTAGGACCCTCTAGTAGCCATTGAGTAAAAGTATATGAGCTGTGAAGTCTATCTACTCTAGTACCAAGTCTGATAGTGCAGAGTTCAATTTTTCTCTTCCTGACAATTCATCTAGTTCGTCGCTACTAACTTCTAAGTGCACTTTATATATGAAAAAAAATACTTCAAAAAGTTACTTCTATTTATATTTTTTTCAAAAATTAATTTATAAATTAATAAACAATCATATCTTTACCATAAACAGATAATTATAAATATAATTTTCTGTTTAAAAACTTGGATCTCGTTTTATTTATCAATTTCTATGAGAGATAATCGCATAAAATCTCATTATATCTCTCTTAGATAAGTACAAGTTTAAAATAAACTGACATAATTTTTATCCCATTAAATTATATCAAAGAAGTCTTAGTACAGTTTTAAAAAAAAAAACACAAATATTCGATTTATTAAATCCAATTCTTCATTTAAAAGTATAAAAAAAAATTCATTTTAAATAATTCCTAAATTTAAAAATTAAACTTCTATACTATACTTTCATATCTACAGTAATTAAGAATTGAAATGAATGTGTTCCAACTAAAATAGATGCAACCATTTATAAACGTTACAAATAAATGGCGGTCAGAAACAAAAGCGGGACAACTATTATTAAAAGTACTGTATTAAATTCATTTTATAAAGTGTGTTTAACTATTTTTGTGTTGGCTGCAAGAAAGTTCTATCTTTAACTGAATAAAGAAGAACTAAAATGGGGAAAGAAAATTCGAGTAGGCTATAGTAAAGTGGATGGCAAGGACACCGGTTTACACCTGAACGTCCTTGCTTACCTTTTCGTCTTTTGTTTGTAGAAGAGGAAACGTCACGCTTTGCTTACGGATCTCCCTCTTTTACGAAACTGCGCTTATTTAATAACAAAAATCGAAGATTTCTGCTTAGAAATTAAGCAAATTTCTCCGAATTAATAATTTTCTTAAAAGTCACGCCAGCAATTTTATCTCAATATAATCGATAATGTAAATACGATTGTTCCGCTTGAACATCCCTGGTCCAATCGCATTATTCAGTTCGTTTTGATGCGATTAGCTATCTTTGAATTATCTAACGAATGTAAACACGGAACTTTTTATAGTCAGGTGATAGAAGTATCGTCAAAGGTTACATAAGCACCATTAACTTTTTAACATTGAAAATGTTAACATCTGCTTATCGTATTTCACATGAAATTCTATCGTGGAAGGTGCAATTCCTACAACAAACCTAAAGAATTATTGATGCATGACATTCGAACGGCGGTTCCTTGACGTTTTGGGCTATGTGCACAGCTATGTGAACAATTTAATGAAACATTATGGCGTGATAAATACATTTCAATGAAAGCACGCAATGTAAATCACATGACTGGAAAGGAACTGTAACAATTCGGATTAAATAACACGCTACTGATTAAACATCCTTCGCAATGTTTCTAAATGTAAGAGGAGTGAAACATGACATATCCATAAAATAAATAAGATTAAATTCCAATTCACTTCTGTGTAAATGGACAAATGTATATATATTCATTCATTTAAGCATTTTAAACCGCCAAAATATTTATAGGAAGGCTTTAAATTCTTCTCGCATCTCATTATTATATACCTATATTCAATTTTCTTACCATTTCACATATAAGGCAAGTATTAGTTTACATAACGAATTAGGAAGAGGATAAATAAATTTAATAAATTATTTGCAGTGCACTAAGCTAGAGAGGAAAAAAATGATCATCAAACAATCGCGAGAAAATTTAATAGAGAAAACCCCGGAATATCCCTGAAGAGGAAAAATCGATCGGCATGTTTCTGCCTAATAATATTCATTTTAATCCGATTATTACTACATCAATATTACTGTAGAAACGAATATTTGCTTGAAATTCTAAGTGATGCAAAGCCTCGTATAAATTAAGGAGAATCTACTCTAATTTAATTCCCGAATGAGATTATCATAACTAGACCTACATTAGTTTTACATATTATAATTTTAACCATTCAAATTTCATCGAGCGGGAAACTTTAGCAAAAGGATTATAAAAGATACAAATTACCAACCGCTTCTCTGTGGAATCTAAAACTAAGAATAAAGTCATTGATCGAGAGTTTGTAGAGATACGTTATGGCAGTTAAGTAGCCTAATTATTATTATATTATTGGGAAGTAGTGGAATAAAGACAAGTTTTTATGCTAATACAATTTCTGAGAGAGTAATTTAAGTGTTATCTTTAATAGAAATCCTTTTCTTTAATGTTCATCATCATCATCAATTTGATATTGATAAATAATATCATAGTAACTAATGATAAACTTATAATAATAATAATATCATTAATGCTGAAATTAGTAAGAGAAAAGAGGAACTATTATACAGTAGGCACTCCGTTAAAATGTATTAAAAAGAAAATTTTACATCAATTTGCATTCGAGACACATTAACGCCATATCATCAGAGTTAACGTAGCTCTTGGGACAAGCAGAATTACTATAATGTCATCTTTGTAAAGGTAGCGGAAGATTAATTTGTCGTCATTAATTCGTCAATCAACTACAACTCTGTCAGACAGTAGAATGCTGTTATTAAGCGCTTCCGATCTGCTTGTGTTTATATTAATCTTCTCTTATCCAAACAAAAAGTCTGAAAGAGAAAATATCGAACCTTCTATTTATGAAGAAGATACACACGTCAACTCCATTACTCATCATTCCAACCAGGAAAAAGCTTTCTAGCGACACAAATACAATTACTGTATTTATGGGCTACTGTCATTTTACCAGAACCAGATCTTGGCAGGGGTAAAGTTCAATAGTTTCTCTCTCCCTAGACGAAACTACGACGTTGTAAAGAAGAAAAGTTCTTAAAACGAATGCTAATGAACGACACAATTTGAATTTAAAGTCAACGTACGAAGCAAAAATGACAAAGGATGCTATAAATTAGCCAACTCATGCTTTTATAAATCGTTAAACCGTGCTGGACTAGTAATAAAAGTAATCATATGAAGGTTTTAGTTGGATATTTCAATACGATTCTTCTTCAGAACTTACTTATCAAATGTAAGTTCTCAGTTGGATGTCTCAGTTGGATATCGTATTTTCTATACTAGGGAAAGGAATACCAGATTCGGGCAGATCTAGCGAGAAAGGCAACACATTAAAGAAGGATCAAGACAACATTAAAGATAGAATTCACCTATATTGCATCTCACTATCTCCCTTTCTTCGAGTCGAGTTAAACAAATGCCAATTCGCATGATAAAAAATCCGATTCCATTTTAATATTTATGCTTTACTTAAGAAAGAAATCAAACTTCCTCCGAATAAATCTTTTAAAAAACAGAAATATCGGAAAATGCGTATAGCTGAGTAGTGAACTTTGTAAGGAGAAAAAAAAATTCAAGCTTTCGAAAAATCGAATTCCATTTTAAATTTAAAGAAAAAGGAACTTACCTTTCCCAGGAACTTTCCTTTCAAATATGTGGTTTTCGAACCGGGATCCACTATATATTCCGGCAACTCGATATTATTATTATTTAACGCCAACTTTCTAACGCTACTTTCCAACCTCCCTATAGTGGTATTCATCTCGAAAACCTGAAACAAGTGAAGAGATGAAGGAAGTAAAGCAGTAAATCTTCCTCGCTGTCTGGGCATTCGCGTCGCAAAGGATGGCGTAACTTGGCGACCCATCACGATTCGATACACCTTTACCTTACGAACTTAAATATATAAAAAATTTTAATATATTAACATTATAATCGAGCAACATCTGTACCGTAAGGCGTTTATTCTACCGTTTATTTAGGAAACGAATTCAAGCATAAGAATATACGCGCCGCGCGTCGCTACACACGTCGCATCGTCATGGATAACTCGTCACTGACATTCATTTACAAAAGCTAAAAGAGTAGGAAGTAAATAAAAACTTCCTTATTCAATAAAATATACTTTTCTACGCTAATGTAATCATATACATAGAAAAAAAGAGTAAAAAGAAATTTATCCTAATCAAACTAATGAAGTGAATCATTGTCTCTTCCCCTTTATTTCCTATTCGTTGTTACAAAAGAAAAACTAAACTTAAACCAAAAATTCGGGAATTAGCTTTAACCGACTCGAACAGGTCCTTACATGTTTACCTTCCTTTGTGTAAGGAGAGATAATCGTTAGATAACTTTATCTCCTTTCGTCTAAATGACGCCTCGCGAACCCTCAACAACACCTGCGCTCTTTAAATTTTAAGGCGAGAAAGAGGTCAGAGTCCCGTAAACTTCAGTCCACAAGCGAATCTACTCATCAAATTAAAGAAGTAACGACACACCCACCGAATAACTAATCGGAAACTAAGGAGGAAAAGGTTAAGAAAGTCTCACCTGGATGACAAGCAACAAGCGCTTCTACATACAGCAACACGGTTTTGGGTCCATAACCACGCATCCAACAAGACAACAAACATATGACTGGCTCTGAGCTCCTACCGGATGTCGACGGGCACTTGGGAAACATCCCACTTTACTGCAAGGGTGGGTAAAGTAGAAAGGGAGCGTTGTCATTCACCGCCTGTGCCTATCGCTTCCACTCTGTGACGTCACAAAGCGTACGTCTTTATCGATATTTACTATTAAAGTCGATACATACAGAAGTACGATAGCTCTTTCGTTCCTCCTTTCATAATTCGCTCTCTCAATTATCTTTGTCTCGTCCTCTATGATAACATTTATTTTTTTATTTTTTTCATCTCGTAAAAATAAATTTAAAACTTAGAAAGTGAAATTTTCTTTCTCTTCTTCCTCGTAATAATAAACTAGTTTACTTCATCATTTTCTTTCTTTTTTTTTCGTCTCTTTCACGTAGAAAATAATATATATTTGAATGAAATTTGATTCCGCTGGAAAATGTAAACTTTTATTTATATTCCAGGTTTATTGATATTATGTAGTAGTGAGGAGTAAAATAATATTTTCGAAATATTTTATTCGAAAATAAATGTACAGATATTCATCTTTTATTCATTTATTTATTTTTTTTTTGTTTGGAGTTTAGCAATTCTTTGGTGTTTTTTTTTCTTGTTTTTGATAAATTCGATATTAATAACATTGTAAACTTACTCCTAAACTTTAATGTTTATTAATTATTTAAAAATTATCTTCGGGTAAATTTCGTATTGTTTGATTTGTTTATTTTGCTCGATTCTTTATTTAATTTTAACTACGTTTAAATACCGAAGTAAGAAACGTACCTATGAGAAAACAATAAATTGTTGCGAGGTTTTAAATTATAATTTAAGCTTGTGTCAGTCAGAAGAGATAAATGAAGATAGAGGATTTTTTTTTTAAATTATACTCGACAAAAGAATCAAAGCTTCTCTTATCTAAGTGGGTCTATCTCTGGATAATAAATTGGCCCTTTACATTTGAGCTCTTGGAAGAAGATTGAGTTGAAAGCAGCAGAGACAAATCTCTAGAAGGTTAAGAAAGTTTTAGGCATTGTAATGCTGTCAAAACCTTCTTTTGCTTTCGTTTCTTAACTTTTAAGGAAAGTATATTAGATAGAATTTTAAAAGAGTACTCTTCTAATAATATATATTTATAATGCTTAAAAATATTAAAATCTATTTAAAAAATTAAATAAATTCAATATTTATTGTGTATATTTTAATTTAATATTATTTTATCTATCATTTCTAATCTCAGATAATTGGTAATTGTTGAATTTATCAAACGTGCGGTAAAGAGAGAACAGACTCTACGTGTAAATAGATTGATTTAATTATAATTAGAAGTTATAATATTTTTAATTAATTTTAAAACTTTGTAGATTATCTTTAATAATTATTTGAAATTTCCTTTTACATAATTGAATGAAAATTCTATTAACACAACTCTGATTAGTTCAATGTTTAATTGATAAAATGTTAACAGGTTGTATAGATAAACCTATATGGCTACTAAATCTATAAATATAACTATAGTTAACTATAATTACACTCAAAGCTCGATTTAGTTCCAATTTCAGAGGCTTGCCCGCTTCTGAAATTGGTACTAAATCGAGCGTAACGCTAAACCGAAATCTCTCAAGTAATAAAAATTATGTACCGTACACAATGAGATGTACATAAAAAGAATTCTATAATATTTATGGGGAAGATTCGTTCAATTCGTTCATAAGTATTCATTGGCACATTGGCACTTTGAGAGTTGTGCTATTTAGGAAGTGTTGTATAGATGTTTGGCTATATAATATAACTGTAACTATAGTATAGATGAACACTACTACAAGAACTGAACAATGGTCTTGAAAAGGTGTACATGTAAGCCTATACATCGTATATCTGTTCAAAACTAATGTATTGTACAGTAGTATACAGGCACATTAAGGAAGAAGCAGAGGTGGCATATATATACCCCCTCTGTTTCTGGATACCTGGACAACTCTGCCTGGATATACAGTATATTAGCATATACTGTATATATGCTAATATACAGTATATTAGCATATACTGTATATATGCTAATATATACAATAGGGCATTCGGCTATTGTCGTAACAGGTCACCGGAAAGGAGGTCTTTCCATAAATATATTTTTTATATATTAAATATAGTGTGTTAATTTTTTAGTTAAATCCAAGTTACTTATACCCATATAAGCTATGTAATTTATATATTGTATATTTTTTTTTACATTTCAGAAAAAAAGGTTTTTTTTGGAGAACGTGAAATGTGTCCCCTTTGCTTCTTTCTGAATGTTCCTATATGTAGCCTATAGTACTGGACATTAATCTTGAACAGATATGCAGTGTATAGCCTATACACTTGTCAAGATTACTGTCCAGTCTTAATGCAAATTAAACACGTTCTAGAATCATGAAATCTGGTTTTCTATTGATATTATCGAAATTATTAAACAATTTTAGTGAAGTTTCTTGATTTATATATTTTTATTTTATTTCTGTCTTCAGAATTTGCTTTCGTTTCAATCATTAAACTCCCATAATTATCTGCAAATAAGACGTTCATTATAAAACGTGCCAATTTACACAACATAATTATTTTAATGTTAGAATACTTAATACACTTAAAAAAGTTTTTTTTTGTTATAATTAAATACAAAATCTTATCTAAAATTAAAATATAGAAGAATATTACATAGAAAAAAAGAGTAAAAAGAAATTTATCCTAATCAAACTAATGAAGTGAATCATTGTCTCTTCCCCTTTATTTCCTATTCGTTGTTACAAAAGAAAAACTAAACTTAAACCAAAAATTCGGGAATTAGCTTTAACCGACTCGAACAGGTCCTTACATGTTTACCTTCCTTTGTGTATGGAGAGATAATCGTTAGATAACTTTATCTCCTTTCGTCTAAATGACGCCTCGCGAACCCTCAACAACACCTGCGCTCTTTAAATTTTAAGGCGAGAAAGAGGTCAGAGTCCCGTAAACTTCAGTCCACAAGCGAATCTACTCATCAAATTAAAGAAGTAACGACACACCCACCGAATAACTAATCGGAAACTAAGGAGGAAAAGGTTAAGAAAGTCTCACCTGGATGACAAGCAACAAGCGCTTCTACATACAGCAACACGGTTTTGGGTCCATAACCACGCATCCAACAAGACAACAAACATATGACTGGCTCTGAGCTCCTACCGGATGTCGACGGGCACTTGGGAAACATCCCACTTTACTGCAAGGGTGGGTAAAGTAGAAAGGGAGCGTTGTCATTCACCGCCTGTGCCTATCGCTTCCACTCTGTGACGTCACAAAGCGTACGTCTTTATCGATATTTACTATTAAAGTCGATACATACAGAAGTACGATAGCTCTTTCGTTCCTCCTTTCATAATTCGCTCTCTCAATTATCTTTGTCTCGTCCTCTATGATAACATTTATTTTTTTATTTTTTTCATCTCGTAAAAATAAATTTAAAACTTAGAAAGTGAAATTTTCTTTCTCTTCTTCCTCGTAATAATAAACTAGTTTACTTCATCATTTTCTTTCTTTTTTTTTCGTCTCTTTCACGTAGAAAATAATATATATTTGAATGAAATTTGATTCCGCTGGAAAATGTAAACTTTTATTTATATTCCAGGTTTATTGATATTATGTAGTAGTGAGGAGTAAAATAATATTTTCGAAATATTTTATTCGAAAATAAATGTACAGATATTCATCTTTTATTCATTTATTTATTTTTTTTTTGTTTGGAGTTTAGCAATTCTTTGGTGTTTTTTTTTCTTGTTTTTGATAAATTCGATATTAATAACATTGTAAACTTACTCCTAAACTTTAATGTTTATTAATTATTTAAAAATTATCTTCGGGTAAATTTCGTATTGTTTGATTTGTTTATTTTGCTCGATTCTTTATTTAATTTTAACTACGTTTAAATACCGAAGTAAGAAACGTACCTATGAGAAAACAATAAATTGTTGCGAGGTTTTAAATTATAATTTAAGCTTGTGTCAGTCAGAAGAGATAAATGAAGATAGAGGATTTTTTTTTTAAATTATACTCGACAAAAGAATCAAAGCTTCTCTTATCTAAGTGGGTCTATCTCTGGATAATAAATTGGCCCTTTACATTTGAGCTCTTGGAAGAAGATTGAGTTGAAAGCAGCAGAGACAAATCTCTAGAAGGTTAAGAAAGTTTTAGGCATTGTAATGCTGTCAAAACCTTCTTTTGCTTTCGTTTCTTAACTTTTAAGGAAAGTATATTAGATAGAATTTTAAAAGAGTACTCTTCTAATANTGTGACATCGTCACAATGCCGGGCTGTAATTTTTAATCATATTTTTAATTTATTTAATTTAAAATATATGCGATCCATCTCAAATTAGTAGTATCTTGCCCCTGTAAATCATACTTTCCCTTTAACAATAGAGTCGTGCCGGTCATGTAACACCTTGTAGGGGAACATTTTCGAATTGAAATAACATGACTTCTGGTTTATAATTTAAGTTTTTATATAGTTAATTAGAGTCTTGTGTCTCTAAGCTTTCTATATCTTATCTTAACTTTCATGTATCTATCTCCATTCTCGAGAATAAAGAAGGACAAACAGACGGACGGACGACAGCGGAAATTTATAGGTCTACAATTTTGCAACTTATATTACTTTAATTCGAAGCATAGACAATCTAGACATAGGCAATTTAGGATATTTTTTATACAAACACAAATATATATTTGTGAATAATGTCTTTGTCTAATGTATGTAACCTATTTCTAGTTAGGGTCACAGATCTTATAATATTAAAGTTTACATTATATAAATTTGCATGAGAGGACTAAATAAGTCTATGTTTGTCTACCTAAAACGTAAAACCGTCGCTGAATTTATGTAGTTAATATTTTTTTAACAGGAAAAATACATTATATTCATTTGTTTTTATCTTATTTACATACAGCATTTAAATTAAATTTTAAAATTAAATTACAAACTAAATTTAGCATATCTTAACCAGAAAATATTCTGGTTGCAATTTATCTATAAAAAGAAAA